CAGCAGGGAGGCTGAACAGGCCAATAGTTCAACAAAGGGGTGTCGATTTAGAGGGAGGCTGAACTAGCCGCTCCAAATTAGGGCTACGAGTTGTTGTCGCCCAAGAGGGATCCCTCCTAGTTATCTTTTTATTATAAATAGGTTATTTGTTGTGTTAGGGTTTAGCTTTGCTGAGATTGTTGTTTGGACAGTCGTCGACGTCCCATTTTTCCCTTCTAGGCTTGTATCTGAGAGCGAGTGATGCTCCAGTTGTATCTCACTCCAAGGTGTTGATTATCCCCAACCTCCCCCTCACCCACAACCTCTCTTCTGTTGTCTCCATCGCCATAGCCGTAAATTTTGTAGTTTGACCCAAAGACAGCAGTTTTGTTGTCTATTGCAGCCCCCAAACCTTCCACCTTCCTGTTACCTTCCTTTCTCCCTCCTTCCCGCCCGCAACCCCCAACCCTCCTCTTGTCAGCTGCTATCTTCCCCCAACCCCCAATCCCCAACACTTTTCAAGCATAGGTAAGGTAATACATTTATAAAAATTGTACTGTAGGTGTTAGATATGCAAATAAATAAAAAATGAGTTGTATGTGCGTAAATTGTCATTGTGAAAAAAGTTAACACTGCTGAAAGTATATATAATATTGGAAACAAAATTTATTAAATTAACATCAATGCGAAAGCACAAAAAATATAACTTACCTTAAGTTAGCATTCAAATCAGCAACAAGTTCTCCTCTCAAAGCATTCCATAGTAGAAGTTTGCCATCCCCCATCCCGCCACCGGTGACCACAAGACCTAAACAAACAGCAGCACATCAAATACGTGTACAGACTAAAGAATGAAAAATAACATTAACAGAATAATGATTGATAGCATTAATATATATGGGCATGAGCCAAGGAAAATAAAGTAAGATTCTCTAGATTATTCAGCCGACGTTTGTGTTAGGACGCCATGTTGATCTGATGTATTCAAAATCATAAGGGAAATTTACAAACATAACACACAATTCTTATGTATTCACACATCTAACACTTGAAACGAGATTTACAGTTATAATGCTTTGGTGTAATAAAACTATGTATGAAAAGGTGTACTTCACATTCAAAATGTAGTGATTGTGTTACTTTTTATGTGATATATTTTGAGCGGTATGCATGTAAATATAAATATTTAGGTTTTAGATATGTAAATATATAAGAATTGTATGTAAATGCCCCAAATTATAATAAGTGGAATAATCATTTGTCTTGAAGTTTATTAGCTAGGTTCGCACATGGAGGTGAAGGAAGAATGTCTTAATAAATAGGTACGCTATAGTTAGTAGACATTGCTTTTCAAGTTTATTATGTCGATTTCCCACTAAAGAATCCCCGGTGCCATAATCATAATCGAGAGAGTTGAATTTAATCTAAGATCATGTTTAGTCAAATGGCATTTCTAATTTTATATATATATATATATATATATATATATAGATCAGACAAGTTAGCACAACTAAATTTCCAAATTAGTTATACTTAGATTACCTTAATTAGCAAAATGATTGCAGTTTTAACCTTAATTTAATCAATAAAATCAATAAAAAGTTCAAGCAAAAGAGTGAAGACCATTTAACTCCATGAAGCAAGCATTTTTAGGCAAACCGACCAATCATATTGACTAGGAACAAGTGAACCAAGCTAAATGAATTTGGCTTATAGTGGATCCGTCAATAGGTTGGGTTCAAATTGGGTTGACCATGACCAAATTTCAATCCAAATTACTTCAAAACCAAGCTCCAGTGGCAGACGAGATTAGAGAGAATCGTCTTAAATGGTTTGGTCACATTAAACATTGACCATCTGATAATCTAATTAGGAGAGTAGATGTTTTAGATTTATGTTAAGAAAGGCAGAGGTAGAACAAAAAAGACTTGAGCATATTGTAAAAAAAAAAAAAAGAATCTTAATTTATTAAAATCAAATAAAAATATGACACTAATAGAACACAATGAAGAAAAAGGATTCAAGTAGCCCACCCCACTTACTGGGATAAAGGCTTGTTATTGATATTGTTCTTAGACATAGATCCCTGATTTACTAAATCCTGGTGTTGTCAAAAGTAAATTGGGTTTACATAATTTACTAAATCCATCACCAAACAACCCCTAAGATTTGAACTTAAGACCTCCAAATACAATAAAGGCAACCTAACAATTGCTATAAGCCCACCCTCAAATGGAGTTAAGTCCTGAGCTTACAAAAAATTTTGGTCTTTTAATATGATCATGGTAAAAAGGATAACCCAACTTCACAATGAAATAGCCCCTCAATGTGACCCAACTGTGAAGCCCATAGGAAAAATAAATCAGCAGACACGAGTACTGCAAGATTTTAACAATAATAGTAGCCCAAAAAATATAAGCACGTTTCTAGATATTTCACGCGAGGTATCACACCTATGTTGAACTAAAATTTAACCAATACAACTTAACAGCCCAACTCTACAAAATTTAATGATTACCACTAACAATTGCCCCATTATAATCTATCTGCTTAAAAATTGATTCGCATAAAATTGGACTCAGAATGCTTAAATGAACTTCAGACTTTCGCACAGCTCATACAGAACATTAGAAGGATTGTTGGAGCTTTGAATTAGGAATTTTACCGGAAAAATTGTTTCCAAAGAAGTATGGAAAGAAATCTATACAGAGTGTCATTTTTAAAAGAATGTATGTGCGCGCGCGTGTGTGAAGAAATATGAAAAGAAACCAAGAAATTCAATTCTCAAGCAAAAAAACAAATAAAAAAATAAACTGCAAAAAGAAATGTGAAAAGAAACCAAGAAATTCAATTCTCAAGAAAGAAAAAAAATTAAAAAAATAAAGTGCTCAAAATATCACTAAGTTAGAACGGACAACTAATGAATAGCATACATGATTGCCACTTGTTAACTGTCATAGTATTGATTTTTTGAGTGTGCCCAACTACTGCTTGGTCATTTACAGGAGAGCCCAATGTGAAGAGACAAGAACCAGTCGTACAGTCCCAAACCTATTTAATGAAGAAAAAAAAATTCTGTAATTTGAAAACTTTAAGTTTGCATTCTTGAAGGTCAGTAAAATATTACCTTCATCAGATTTGACCCACATGAAACTATGCTGGCACCCCTCACTGCGAATTCAACAGCTTGGATCTGTTAGAGTAACAAAAACATCTACTCAGCAGTTGCATTATCTAACACTTTTTTTTTTATAATAGGAAGATTTATATGCATACCATTTGTATTTACATATCTAACACCTAATCTTTTATTTTTACATACATATCAACTTACTTATGCATGAAGAGGTGTATTTCATTTTCACGAAAAGGTGTATCTCACTTTTAAAAATTTAAAATGGTGGTATTCTTAATGAGATAATAATTTTTTTTGTGGCGTAAATATAAAAATCCCCTTTATTATATTACAAGAAACTTTTCAAAAAAATGAATAATTAAGATGAATTCATAGGGTAATAGTTATGAATTCCAAGATATAAACTGATGAACAATAATCCTCATGGCAAATTATTCCATAGAGCAATTGCCCTTAACATTCAAAAGAGATTAACATAAAAATAAGCAAAATTAATCTTGACATATGAATCAAACATTAAAAAAAATTGTAAAAAAAATTTACATATATAACATTTAGGATCTGTTTGGGGGGGCAGCTGCAGCTTATTGAATAATATGCTGATAAGTTGATTAAAAATAATCTGCTGATAAGCTAGGTGCGGTGGCTATTAAAAAAATTTATTTTTTTTGGAAAAGCCAGACCGCTGCCAGAAAGATATCACCGCACCTACACCTAGATAGGTGCGGTGTGAAAACGCTGCTTTCAGCGTTTTCAAAACTCAGTTTACCCAAACAGTCCAAATGCGTTTTCAAAATGTCACCGCACCAAATAAGCTGCCCAAAACGGACCCTTAAACTTCAATTTTTACATATATGCCACTCCACCTATGCATGAAAGGTGTAATTCATTTTTTTAATGTTAAAATGGTGATATTTTTTATGTAATATAAAATTTTGAGTGGCATAAATGTAGAAAGTAAATTTTACGTGTTAGATGTGTGAAAGAATAGGAGTTGGGTGGTATGTATGTAAATCCCCCAAAAAAAACTGAATTTTCAGGATGAAATAAGTCCACAGACTATAATTAATGGTGAAACAACATTCTCCAAAATGGTTTAAGAACAGATTTCTTCACTATGTTTGTTCCTGCGTTGGCAAAATGGTTGAACAGATCAATCAAAATACAACAAGGACAAACAGATAAAACCAGCAATCCACATTGAATAATACAAGATGACTTGGTCACTTTAGTTTTCGCACCAATTTAAATACTGCTAAGGGCTTGTTTCGGATCATTTTTTTATGTTCATTTTTGTTTTATTTTTGCTTTTATTTTTAAGAATATGTTTGTTTGGTGCTTTTTTTCTTTTTTATTTTTATATTTTGTTTTAAAAAACAAATTAATTCAGTTTTAAAACACTCAAAATAACATTTATATGTTTTGAATATTTTCAAAAACAATCATTACTAATAAATCATGTTTTATTTCAGAGTAAAACATAAACAAAATAAAATAGAAATAAAAAATAAAAGTGATCCCCCCTACAACCTCAATAAGTTAGAAGCATGGAAATGAAACACCACCAAGATTTCAAATACCTGACAACCGTGACCAGTAAGTTGGATTGCTCTCCCAGAGAGAAGATTGTACAAAAGCAACTCATTTGGCCCCTGCATTCAAGACGAAGCCCTTACCAATAATCAAATGAAGGGAAATTTACATTCGTTCTTATGTATTGAATATCTTACACCTAAACTATCATATTTACATACTTGGCACTTCAGTGCTTTAAACCTATGCATGAAAAGGTGTATTTCACCTTTAAAAAGTGAAAATAATGCTATTTTTTATGTGATATTAAATATTTGAGTGTTGTGTGTGTAAATGTGAATGTTAGGGTGTGAGATATTTAAATAAATTAGAATTGTGTGCTATGTATATATGTAATTGTTAACTTATTCTTATTAAATCCGGGGAAATAAAATTTTTATTCAAGAAGTGAGAATTACCAAAAAAAAAAATTGTAATTGCATATAAAAACCAAACAGTGTTTTTTTAAAAAAAAAGGTCCCGTTGTACACCTCACCAACCTCGTTAGAGCTACAAATAAGTTGAGGCAGCCCTTCTGGGTGAAATCTGACATCAAGAACCTTTTGTACGCCTTGCTGAAAGTAAATTTAAGGGAGAAAAAAAAAACTCATTAGCAGCAGGAACTACTCATTCTCAAACAACAAACTAGCTCTTACAAAAGTTTCCATAATTTTCAGCGTTGTTTAAAATAAATGATCAGACAAAATGAGAAAATTAATAGGTAAAAACATCCTTGGATTGCTCTCATTTATGACAAGTAGCCTTGTGAATAATGGAAAACAACAATTTTTTTTTTCTCAAGTCTACCTACTATCTTAGATGACATTATATGGAATCTCCCATCAACTTGGTCGTCAATACTGATTAAAACATATTAAACGCAAGGTTAATCCAAGTCCATGACATTGACTTCAATAATAATAGTGATGAAATGAAGGGTTGACACATCTTAAAGGCCTATAGCAATGTTCTTGATCAATGGGATCCTGACATCATTCTCAGTGCTTAGTTTAATAAGGGGCGGCTCCAAAAGCTCTAATTTCATATTACCATCTAAAATTTGTACTAAAATTTCTGTGCACTCTTGAGCTAATGAGGATGGAATTGCATCCACCACCAATGGAAATAGATTTGGATCATTTGCATGTTCCTATTGTTCCTAACTACTAGTATTACTAGTAGATGGTTCCTCAATTATAAATAAACTTTAAAGCAATCAGGGTATTATGTTCAAATATTTTCCAAAAGATACAACATAAAGGAATGATGTCAAACACAATCTTCTGCTGATAACCACTTAAAAACATCAATTTAAAAAGCTTTTTCAATAGGAATTATAATGTCCCTTTTCACCGAAATCCTTTCCACAAAGAACTTGAAAGACAAACAGTTGTATCACCGACTTGTAAAGGTTTAACAAAAATAGCATAAAAAGTATAATGTAGACGGTTGAATTAGTCAAGCTAAAGCTAAGGAAAAGGAATCCAGAATAAGAGTGATAGCAGGTTCCATGGATGAAGTGAGGGGAGCAGCTGACACAGTTCTATGGTTCCTTGTAGGTGTGATGGAGCACAACATTGTGTTAGTGACGTTGTAAGATTGATAATATGAGTGGGAAGATGAAATGAGGCTGATAATTGGTGCGAACAGTGACGGGACAGCTCACTGGAGGCAGTAAAGTTGTGAATTCCTGCTATAACCAGCAGTTCGAAGCACACTTGATTACTCCAGTGGAAAACAAGCAAACCACGGATTGGTGAGGTGAGGATGACGAGGGGAATCCACCGTCTATTCTTGGGCAAGCTGCATGCATACCAATTGCGAAAGGAAGAGGCTACAACACTCCAGCGAGCAAGAAAATCGTATATAACTCGCGAAATACTAAAAAATCAAACTGAAATTCCAAACAGCCCACTATACATATATATATAAGTCGCCTAGTAGGAAATAGCCTGATTAGATAATAGAAATATGGAAAAGAACTAAAAAAGCAAGCAAGCAAAAAAAGAAGTTAAATGAGAATAAAATAAAGAAAACTAAAAACTAAAGAAAATAGCAGCACAAGACTCTCACGATAAGAGAAGCCGCCAATATCATGGGAAATCCCACGTCCCGTGTCACTCTCCTTGGGTAGGAGGGGCTTCGCCCTCACCTCCGAAGAAATTTAGGTCCTCTTAGTACTACAACCAGTTAGCAATATTAAATGTAGCAAAAATATTTTAGTCTCCCGATAGGTCAATCTTATAAGTATTGTCATTAATCTTCTTAGCAATTTTGAATTAACTATCAGCTCTAAGCTTGAGCTTTCTGAAATGAACCGCAGGAAATCGCTCATTCCCCATACCAGGTCCCCTTTCTTGAAAACCATAACTTTGCTATACATGTTGCCCTGTTTCTTATGTTCAGTGTTCTGCTTAACGATTTCCTTCCTGACATGTTCATATAGGGTTTGAATATCCTTGACTCGAACCTCGAAATCTATCATAAGCTCAAAGTGCGAAGTAAGTGACTAACTTCAAAGGCACATGAGGATTACGTCCGTACATAATCTCAAATGAGTTGTGACCTGTGGACTAATTAATAGAATGATTATAGGCAAACTCCACCTAATGAAGGACCAAGTCCCACTGCTTCATATTCTTTCCCACAAAGCACCTAAAAAGGTTTCCTAAAGTGTGGTTTACAGCCTATGACAACCCATCTATCTAAGGGTGAGCCGCTAAATGAAATTGAAGTTTTGTACCTAACTTATCCCATATAGTTCTCCAAAAGTATTCGAGAAATTTCACATCTCTGGCTAAAGTAATGCAACTAGGCATACCATGAACATGAACTAACGCCCTGAAATATAAGTTTGCAATATGTGACACATCCATCGTCTTATGGCAAAGAACAAAACATATTATTTTGGAGAAAATATCTATCATGATCATGAAAAAATCCTTACTCAGTTGTGTCTGAGGTAACCCACCACAAAATCGAAGCTCACATCCAACTAGGTGGCCTCTCGAACAAAAAGGGGAGTATACAGACATGTGTTTTACCTAAGAGTCTTGGTCAAGTGGCATTGTTGAAATTCAGAATAATGTGGTATAATATTATTGATATCAAACGGGAGTGTAAATAACCCTTACATGAATCCTAAGCTAGAAAAGACAATAAAAAATAAATAACATGAAAGAAAAGATATAACACATATATCTTCAATTAATCAATTCATATTAATTATTTTGAGATAAAGAAAACAACATAAAGCATAAAATAGCAAAAATAAATAAATAAAATCAAAGAAAATAAATTTAATTCTCATAACTTTTTAAGAAAAATAAATTCTTTCCTAATATAACTTCTAACAAGCATACCCTACACTGTCGGACGTATCAATCTAGGCTAGTAAAAGTTCTCTTTCGATAAGGAGATGACCATGTCTCTCCTAAAATGTCCCGTCATTCCCCCACAATGACATTCCTATCAAAACAAGGTAGGCCATATAATTAGCGTACTTGAGTAAATGACTGAGGTCTAGGCTAGACTACAATAGCCTGAATCTTTGTTGTGTTCATCTCAATGTCAACAACTAAAATGATGAATCGCAAAAAAAAAAATTTGTGGTGTAAGAAAATGGCAATTGGTCATATAGTTGTTACATCTGAAGAACCTCTAAAACTTAACGCAAATATTGTCATTGCTCCTCTAAATTGTTCTACACTAAAATGTCATCAAAGTACACAACCACAAATTTTTCAATGAAGGCTCAAAAAACCCAGTTCATCGACCACATGAAAGTACTTGGGGTGTTAGACAACCCAAAAGACATGATTGTTAGCTCGTACCGTCAATCTCGTCTTAAAGATTGACTTCCACTCATCCTCCAGTCTGATTATAATCCAGTGGTAGCCACTGCGCAAATCAATTTTGGAGAAAACAGTGGCTTCATGCAACTGACCAGGCAAATTATGCAATCTTGCAATATTAAACATATACTTAACTGTGATCTTATTCACAACCCCCCATCTATACAAGTGTCACGATCAAAGTTGGCATAAGACATGGATTGGTACTCTTGTCAACTACCCTCGGGCCATCAAATCTACAACTTGCTTTTGTGGCTCTCATGCCTCGTTGTTGGTCGCATCCGATAGATTGGTCAATTGGGAAACACAAATATTGGGTTAAGGTATATAGCATGCAGAATCTCTCGTAAAGGTGGCATATTGTCTGTCAACACATCCTGAAACTCCTTTAGTAATGGTCGCATTGCCTCAACTATTGGTTCCTCTGCTTCCCTCCCTTCAAATATTACCAAGGTAAATCCCACTGATGCCACTCTCCTAGCCTGTAAAAAGGTAGCACAAGGCATGCTAGTCTCTGCCTGAGTGCTCATCGTTGTCAACTCCTTTAGTGGCAGAAGTACAATATATTTCCCATCCTTGGGAAATGTGTAGATATTTTTTGTGACTGTCATGAAATATACCTCTGTTGTATTGCCACGATCGGCAGTACAGAATATGGCATGCATTCAAAAGGACGACATCACACCAAACATAATTTTGCAACTTGTCTCTAATTAAAAATTCCACCAAACATCTTTTGTCAACACAAATCATGTTTCCCATTTTTAACCAAGTATGGTTGTGAATCCTTCTGTGCAAATAGGCTCAATCCATCCACCATATGCTAGATATCACATTTTTTTACAACTACGTCACTATATGATGACACTGCACGTCTTCCCCTTTAAAGTGCAATGAGTAAGGAAGATATTATGTCTAAACCACTATCAATCCTTCTTAGGTCCGTTTAGGAGAACTAATCAAACCACAAGCATTTCACCATTAGCTGCAGGTAGTTGGTACCACTATCCAGTCTCCACCTCTGGGTCTTCACTCTCTTCTGTATTACTATACATTTCTTTAACTGTCCCCTGCTCATTGAAAGAGATCGTCATCATGTTTGAACAATCAAACATCATGTGGCCAAAACCATAACATTTTAGGCATTTGCTGGCGAGGATGGACTTGAGAATATTGGCGGGGATGATTCGGGAATATTGGAATTCTCCACCTTTTCTCCACTATGTATGGGTTCCTCTAGTTGAATTGTCTTGAGTGCTCCACGGGGCATACTCTTGCTTCCTAATCTAATGGTTGACCTCTGTTTGAATGATGGTGTAGACCTAATATTGTTGTGTTGTTGCTCCACCTTTAAGACTAGGATTTGGATATTCTATAATATCCAATAAGATTGTAATTGCACTATGTTGTAAATAAATAATCTTAACCCCCCAAATATCAAGTTATAGTGTTCTCCTCGGGCTCTAGTAGCCCGCATTTCAACATAAGCTGCTCAAACTCAATTGTGCACTCTTCTAATGAGATATCATGTTGTTGCAAGTGATAAAATCTTAAAAACATAACATGTCTATAACGAACTGGTATGTATTTGTGTCGCATGTCTCATTTCATCTTAGACAAAATGTTGATTTTATTTTTTCCTTCTCGTTGACGACGATGCTTCAAATTCTCCCACCAAAGATATGCACACTTCTTTAACATAATGTGCGCTAGCTTCACCA